AGCTTCGAACACAAATGAGAAATGTACACAAAGACTAATTTGTGCCCAAAGGTCGATCAGTTTCAAACGTTGAACGATCAAACGTTCTGCCGTTAATCAACCGTATGGAACATCCTGACTTCAGATATGATTCTGAAAATATACATATATATATATATATATNGCTTTTTGCAGTTTTTTGAAGTTTTTCTGAGGAAATCGATGGCAGAACGAATTGAAAAAAATTTGAATATGTTTGTATGGAAAATGTGTTCAAAGACGCACATTTTTTAAAAAAAAACTCAAATCGGTTGAGTTTTACGGAAGGCACACGCATTTGAAGATACAACTTGCAAAAAAACATGGCTGCCCACAGGATGCCTCAAAAAATATGAATAAATTTGAGAAGTCATATTTGTCCATATACAACCACAGGAAAAATCGGCAATATGATTGGCGATGGTGAGGGTTTCGACCTGGGTGAGTTCACATGGAATACCCCATATATATTCAATTTCAAACAGTAGAGATTTTGAGTTATTCATTTTTCTTTTTCTCGTCGGGTATGGTTGGAACACGTGCTCTCATGCATGAGCACTATGTTATGTATTACTACGCGTCGCCATCCCAGTGGACTCTACTTTATGTGTTATATGCGCGTCACCATCTCAGTGGGCTCTACTTTATGTATTACTCCGCGCCGCCGTTCCAGCGATACACCCACCACGCCAACCGACCCCCCTCACCGCTCGTCCCGCATCAAATTCCCTATTTTTATTTTCTATCTTTTACCTCAGCAACTCTCCCAGCTCATCCCTACATTCATTAAAATTTGAATTTACGTCATTGCCTCCAATTCAATTTTTCCCAACTTTTAATTGACCCCAATTTAGGCTTTTTAAAAAAATCGTTCTAGACGCGTCGGCTAGTCATGGTTGTCGGCCATTTTTGTGTCCGGTTTACTTGTTATTCCCGCCAAGCTCTCGGGATGATGCAATTTCCATTGCCGTCCTGGAGATGCTTATTTCTTGGATTTTTTTTCTTCTTTTTGTTAATCACTTTACTTACTGATCGTCTCGTCTTGATTTTCCATTTTTCTCGTCTCTCTAGCCTCAAATCACACCGCTCAAGTCCACGTGGTATTCCTGGCTTCCACTTGAGTTTTTCCTTTTCATTTATACACAGTTTTATTCACAGTTTCTTTTATTGCGCAGTGGAAGCGTGCTGGGCCCATAACCTGATGGATTATGCGGGATTGGGACACAATAAATTAACACACTGTATTCGTTAGTAAAGGTTCATTATAAGGCACGTCTCTCGTCTCGCGTCTAGCGTCCACCACGTCTCGAACAGGAATGTATAGTTCACACGTTACAACCGGCCTGGGACGAGATCTGCGCATGCGCACGATCTCGCCCCCCTTCTTATTGTACATTGATATGTCTGATACCATAGATTATATATATTAGGACCAGGAGCTGGAGCTCTCTTCCAACAAATATCAATTTTATTATTTATTTCATGTCAAATTAGATTTTAAATAATTCACAAACGTTCGTCGCATTAATCATTTCTGCACCACATGAAATTTAGAAATTCCCGGGTCCCCATCGTGCATATGGGGTTGGATCGCACTGCTGCCAACTCCGTAACAAAAAGTTGATCGGAGATAATTCGAATTACGAAATTATGCATATGAACCCGTTGCTATAGGCGTAACGTTTTCAATATTGATTTGAGTAAAAAATAATTACATTACTGAGAAGCTTGTGGCCAATTTCTATAACGTAACTAAGAGTCTTTGTCATATGGCTTGTCCCGTTTGAATTATATTCCATGAATATTATTGGGAAGTAGTGGAGGGGTTATCTATTTATATGTGGATGCCCGGCAGCACTGTTTTGTTTTGTTTAGTTTTGTAGAGTCGGAATCGAAACTTTTCTTTGGTCGATTGTTAATATTGAGTATGAATCTCCTGGGTTATAGAAAAGTCGGTACCAGTTTGTTTTTATTTTCTTGTGAAAACGTAAAAGTTTTACAAAAGCATGGAATTATCAACATTTTCCACCGGCACTTTTAATTTGCGATCTCTTACAGTGCAATGAATACGACATGACATGTTTGTAGTGAACCTCAAATTAGTTCAATACTGACTAGTTTAAGCTGCCTATCGATTAGACAATTTTCAGAAAAAAATTCAGTTACTACCAGGAAAATATTTCAAACTAGTATTGATATGTAAAACGGGCACTAATTAACAAAGTATTATTAATTAACGCAAAGGTGTTGAATCGTTCAACTTCTTTCACTATACTCAATTATATAATGACAAAAAATCCAATTTACGGAGGTCAAAAGAGTAATGCGAGTGCGGGTCTTTAATTTTCTGACATGACATGAGCGTAACGTCCAATTATCGAATTATGAATGATACTGTACGCCCGCAATGAAGGAAAAATATAACCAAGCACTGCTGCAATTATTAAGCGAGAATCTCGAGCCTTACTTCAGTATTCCAAATCATTGTTGTACCATCCAAAGAACAAGAAGCTAGCATGGAACCACATGGACTGAAGTCCACATGGTTAATACTATATTTATGGCCATCGATAGGGCTGAACGCCTTCTCTGTAAATTTTATATTAGCATCCAATGTTTCTTCCTCATTGCTGTTTTCTTCTTCTTGCAGTTCCCAGATCCTCACAAGTTTATCTCTGTAGAGGGAAAACATTTTTGAGTTCATCATGAATCATTCAATACACATAAGTCACGCACCCTGATCCAGAAGCTAAGAGATTATTTCCATGAAATGCTACGCTATTCACAGCACCTCCATGATCATCTAACGTTCTAACCAGACGAACGTCATTCGCAGAAGACTCAGCGAATTGGACGAAGTTGCTCTCCCTTCCTTCATGTTCATTCTGTGAATATAAGATTCGTAATTATCCTCGTCGTATCAGATTATCGTTGAAGAGCTAACAACGGATTTTCTGACACCGTAGTGAGTAGAACTTAAACTCTGGTGATTAATCCTCCACATCTCACTCTACAGTCGTTTATTTAATTTCTTGAATATGATCAAGTTGGTTACGTAGTCGTTACGCAGTCAATTACCTATTTTATTTATCATTACAAGTGATAAGTAAAAACCTCCAAAAACTATTCATCAACAAACCAGAAGCAGAGGTTTTACCTCGCCCCAGCAATAAAACTCCAGGAGAGTATAAGATGCACCGGTATCAATACTGGAACGGGAGTTCGTCGAATGTCAGTCTAAGTTGAACGGGGGAAGCAAGATACCGTAGATAATCAATAAATATTCATACCAAGAAGATACACTCATTTGATGGCTGAAAGTAGGCATGTATAGAAAACGGGGCCCGAGAAAATATCAAAACAACGAGAACTGTGGTACGATATATGAAGAGCAAGCAAAACACTGAGTGGAGTATGGATGGCATAAAAAAGTGGGTTTCTCTGAATTTTCTCCCTTCTAATCGATTCACCCCATTGATCGAAAGTTGGATGCATCTGTGGGTCTGTGTAGAAAGGAAAAGATCATCACGTTTCAAATCATGAAAGTCGCAATTCCATTGAATAAAATGAAATAAACAGTAAAATAACTGAGTGCGTGACACTGTTGAACATTGATTTTATTAGGAAATATGCAGGCGTTCGAGCTTTTCCGACAAAAGGAATGTGACCGGTAGTTTTTGGGTCATTATTCATCATTTTATTCATTTTTTCTACGGATTCTATGGGTTGTAAGCTTCCGAATAGATTCGTAGTGGTTTCCAGTTTTTGTGAGAGGCATACAATCGTTACCAGATGGTACAGGATGTCTACAATAAGATATTCGACTTTTTAATGAAATAGATGTAGATTTAGGAATTCTGGGAATACTTTAGGCGATCCACAGACCATCGAGAACTTCATTCGAGAACTTCGAATTAAGCATGGGTCAGATAAAGTTCCAGTGCCTTAGTTTTAATCAATAATTATCAACCAAGATATGGTGTTAGTTATCTTTTGGCAATCGTTTTTTATTAAGAATATGTTGATGAAGATATATTGTTATTATGGATAGTATTTACTGAGTATGTGTTGAAAATTTGATAATGTTAACTATAGGGAATCTAGAGCTTTCACAAGAAAAATATAACGCTTTCGTTTCATCTGTGTCGTTAGATGCTCTCATTTCGCTTTTGGGGTATAAATTGAAAGATTTTTGCGCATTCAGAGTAGCGATGATTATCGCTCATTGAGTGCATGGCCTTCGGGCAAGCTGCTTTTAGACGATTTCCGTGGAGAGAATTTTGCATCTAATCAGGAGTTTAGATGAGGTTTTGAGTTTCTTTTCGCATATTGTGCCGTAGAATTCTTTTGAGAATTACTGTGAAGTTCGGTTCCCTTTTTTTGCCGAATTATGGGAATTATGCATTGTGATCGCGATAGGCTACGCGTAATAGATTCGGTTCTTCGGTTTCGTACCATCTCGAGTCTACTTCCTCGTTTATTTTTTCGGGTGGTGCATCTAATGGTGAGAATTTTATTGCGTAACATGAGTAAATTGAAGGAATATTAGTAAGTAATTAAAGAAGCGAGCACGTGTACGGGTTAGATTTCATGAGACCTATTTCATAGTCAACTCTATTTCGTGGCGTTGACAAGAGTTCGAGTCTTAGGATTGATGTTTGCCTTTATCAATCATTAACTCCTCTGGTTGTTTGTCTGCTCAATAATTATTGACTTTAAAGAATATGGTTTCTCTTTTTTGGTTCCGAATAAAAGCATTGTAATCGTTCAATTTGAAATTTTGGATTTTTTGTGTTATATCTACCCATTATGATCCAAAAGGGGTTTCTTAAAACTTTCTTTCGAGTCTTCACCAATGAATCCACGGAATTGAATCATTCCTTTTTCTCAAATGTAGGTCTCGCTGAGCCCAATCCATTGACATTAAGTAAAATTCAATTCATCTATTTTTTTTTCAATTTTCGAATTTTTTCGAAAATCAGTTGTCCCACGATAAGTAAAAAAAAAACAAGTTCTGAATTGATTGACTGATGGCTTGAAAAATTTGTTTAGATGTCCTTTTGACCGAGTTTGAAGATAAAGGCGATGACAATAATCAATATTTTGATTTATTTGAAAATTCGCCCAAATTTTAAATTTTTTGAAAATCAGAATTCCGGAAATATCTTTGAATATTATGAATACTTTGATTATTTGAATATCATATCTTCAAATAAATCCAATCGTAGTTTAAAATGTTTGTTTTAATTCTTCGTTATTCACGTCCTTTTGTATTTATCACTCCATTTTGTATTTAGTACTCCATACCTTCGAGTGCCGAGAAGAAATGTGGAATTTTATCAGAGGCTTATCAATGCATCATGTCTTACTATGAAACTTGAAGTAGATGCATTCAATCATTATGCCCATGAAAGCTTATATTTGTGATGAATGTTGGAAAACTCAATTGCATGCAAACAGTCAGGCTCTGTATTCTACATATAAAATTCGGCAAGGATTACATCATGAAAGAACTCCGTCAGTCGACTATTGGTCTTGCGAGGTTGACCTGCTTATCAATGAAAAAGCTTGAAGCTATGGAAAATGCAAATTCGTATGGGTTAATTTCCATGATATAATCGTAGAGAAAAGGTTTGGGATGATTGACAAATCAATTCAATTAATCTAAAAATAAAAACGAACAAATTCGTTATTGATAAAGTAAACTCTTGGCCTTGCTGAAACAAATTGAACATTAAACTGAGCGGTAAGCCAACATTCGATGCCATAAAAATTCCGATTATTTAATGATTTAAATTGCGCGTTGTTAACTAAACTTTGCGTTTTCTATCGCAGAAACAATCAGACTTATTCCTGCAAGGATGCCAACAATAGTCCCGCTTCCTTCCATATTTTGAATACAATAATCATCATCTTGAAATGCAGCATCTGTGGTGTTCCATTTGTTCAAGGACAAACCGCACAAAAGTGTGAAAAATGCATGAGAACTCTCATAACGAATACTGATGAACTCTATGATGGGATATTTGAAATTATAAATTCTCACTAAACAATAATCACTATCAAAATGGTTTTCCAAATTTAATACAAAATCTTATTAATGAAAGCCATATAATCCAATCACATTCTCGCCTATGTCCGACGGGGTCAACACCAATTCGCAATATCGATAAATTCCGAATACGGTGAATTATTTGTAAAATTTTGTGCTACAGTGTTTCTGCGATATTCAACTGCAAAAAAATAGAAATTTCATCCAAGTATTCCTTAATTAATTCGAACATTTAATTGATAAATAAATTTTTATTTGATTCAAACAGTTATTGTGGCTTGCATCAAGAACACATGAGGATTGAAAAACTCAATAACTTTTATTTATTTATTATTGCTCAATAATTCATGAAAATGCAATAAATTAAGTCATTTAGAATTCTTTCCGGAAATCCATAAGGAATAACTTTTGGGTACTATCGTCTTGGAATATACCTTAAAACGCGCAACAGACCTCTTCTCACCCAATTTACCCCAATATATAATTCAAAAAATTAATATGTGCATGTGCACACTAATTGACGGAAGACGCAAAAAGGCTTCGGTGTGTTGTCGTTCAGTCAGATCAGTTCCAGTTCCGGCACAGGTGACTTCAGAAAGAAATAAGGAAAATCGGTCGTGAGGGAAATGAGTTGAATAAAAATGGTAAATAAATTATGGAATTTGTGTAGTGGAATTGGTGACATAAATTTCTAATTTTTTAGTTTTAGTTGGTGAATTGAATCCGGAATTTTCTAGTTTTAATTGGTAAAGTCAATTCGAATTCGTATTTAGCACAGGCGGATACATAAATTCTCATTTCAGTAGTATATCCACCTCGGAGGCTCAGAAGCCTATCATGAGTCACGGGTTTTCCCCCTCACCTCGGTTTCCAACGAAAATTACACGCAGTTCAGAACGTCCGCCTTTTCTCGCTCGGTGCACAATGTCCCATTTTTCTTCGTCCTTACAGACATTACAAAACGTCTTCTACAACATGTTCAAAAATCAGTAGAGAACAATTTTTTTGCCTACTAAAATGGCATAAAATTGTTCATGTGTGGTTCATGAACTGAGCCCAATTAACGAGGATGATTCAACCAATTACAAGTCTACCTGTGCACCGAAACTTTGACAGTTCTACCAAGATTTTAATTTCTACAATTTTCTCAAAGTTATTCTCCGCTGAATACAGTTATACAAGTTGCCTTCAACAAGAAATAGTTTGAGTAATCATAGGTGTAATATAAAGACATTGAATGCTCATGATAAAGGGCAATGTTTACCCTATTATATCGTGAAAAATTGAATATTTCTACTTACTGGAGTGGCATCACCATCAATAGACGAATGTCGAATGGGACTGACATGTTTGATGAGTTTTGATTCGATCGTTAGATTGTTTCCAGTAAGGTCCCAAACAATAATACTTCTATCATTGGAGCCACTGGCGAGCAATGATCCATCTCTCGAGAAGGCACAACACCCGACATATCTTTTGTGCTCAATCAATGCAGCAACCGATTTCGCAGAAATCTTGAAAGATCCAATTAGTTAGCAATAAGAATTCAGAACTAGTAACATGAAGAAAATTTAATTACTGTTTCCCAAATGACGATAGATTTATCTAGTCCACAGCTAGCGATGTAAGCCCCATTTGAGCTGAATCTCACACAAGTCAGAGCACTACTGTGCTTTTCAAGTACTCTAAATAGAGTGATAGATGCCAGAACAGCATTGACGTCACCTTTATCCTGAACCACTCGAACATCCCAAAGTTTGACGAAATGATCGTTTCCACAAGTTACTAAATGGTACAGTTTCTCCAACGGATAATTGCCTATTAAAATGAAATATAACAGGAATACAATAAGATGTTAGTAGTAAAATGATAAGCTACATATGAAGAAAGAAATTCAAGGGACAATATTAATGCCTTCGCTTAAGAATTCGATTGAAATTTTCGTTGGGAATTCTATTTGGCCTTTTTGGCCGATTCCGTTTGAAAATAAAATCATAGTTTTCTTATACGGTTTCATCCGCAAGAAACATTCCAAGACAAACAAGGGGTAGAGCCTATCTGACAGAAGATATGTGAACGGTACTTTCTCTGTTATTACTCTTTTTCTATTTTTTATTTGTAACAATTCCATTGATGGTAAACCTCTAAATGGATCCGTGACAATTCCCTATTGTTATGACAGATATATTAAGTGTATAAATTGATTTTCGGCCCCTAGATTAAATTTATGAGAACACCTATTTAAATCAAAAAAATTTCGCGCAATGAAAGGCGTTTCGAAGCACCATCTATGAGCTATCAAACCATTTAGTCCGATTGTGGTCTGATTAACACAACCTCAAAAAATATAATAAATAAAAATGTCCTTCCACAAGCAGCACTTAAGACACTTATGAACAAGTTCTCCAAATAATTGATTAATGAATAATCTTAATGGGAGATTCCGCAATGAATAAGTTAATTATCAATACTCGTGGAAATATTTCTTCCGACTTGATTCAATCAGTAATGATGTTAGGGATGAATTCTTGGGTTCTGCTGTTTGGAGATGAATCTCCCTACAGTGTATAGATACTAGAATCCAGCGGAGTTGTTGGTAGGAATAGAGGTGTTTCATCTATTGACACTGACTCATAATTATCCAGAAGGTATAAATATGAGGGGAATTACAATAACAATACTGTTCGCGATTGCGGATAATAACCGTGCTAGCACTTGAAGGCAATCACGTGAGTCCTGAAATTCAGGGTCATCGCCCGATCAGCTGGTCAGCATACCAAATTAGGCTATTTTTTGGACACTGAGAATGTTGATCGTAGCTCTGTGAATTATAATTATATTCACGTTGATTCAATTCCTAAAGTGTATATAACTTTAGTTGTGCGATTAAACATTGTTTTCTTTATTTCGTGTTTAATTAGTTCTTCTAATCCCAGCACCTCGCTATTAACAAGGCACGGTAAAAATGAATAACAATTCAGATTCTAAAGGCAATCTTGGATCTGGTCCTTCGAGCTGGATTGGCGGGACATTCAACTAATTAAACACAATGGAGTGGTTAATCAGTCATTTCGCTAGAGTCGAAAGGTCTGGCATTAAAAATCAATCAACTCGTGTTCTTCGATAAATTATGAAATAAATCGCGTAACCAAGTATGAACCTCGTGTGTAACCGAAATACAACGCGTTTGCCAAGTGGTGAGAATCAATTTTCTCCTTTTGCAAATTGTTTGTTATGAATCTATACGTTTTTCGGAGTGATTAAACCTGGAAATCGACGTGTTTTAATATCAATAACACTACTGCGCTCAGAATACGTTTATTAAAGTCTAATTTCATACATAAATTTCGTGTAATCACGTGCACATTCCAGAAGTTCTTCGTACCATTTGCCTCTTGAACTCCGTGGTGCATCACTTGGAAAATTCAAACGCTTAACGGCGCTCAGTGCAGTAGCACGAAAAACGTGATTAATACGCACCCCAGTTATAGCGCCAAGTGCCGTAGTACTTAAGGCGAGCCCCGCGCATCAACATGATTTGAATTAAACACTATTCATAACGGAATGACATCAGTGATTAGCGAGTGATCAATACTGGAGCATTGTTGAGCACCCCAGACGTTATGCAGCTCGAGTGATCAAGTGACTTGTGGTGAATTGATTCTTACATGCATTTTTTTATTTCATGTGACTTGGCTAAAACAAAGGAAAAATAAGCAGGTGACCGCACCTGTATTGCAGAAGGCATGCGACTGTTGCTTTATGTTTTGTGTATATTTTAATTTTTTATTTCTACCAATTGCATTGGTAGTAAGCTTCCGAATGGATCAATGGCAATTCCCTTTTTTAAATTACAGGAGAAACTATTTTCTCACGTCACATGCCTATCCCAATTTTTCCTCAAGTTATTATGCCAACAAAGAATTTAGGGAACACCAAAAATGTAAAATCGCTTATACAAAGTTGATTAATTGAAATGAATCTCTGTTGATTAATTGAAATAAATCTCCAAATTTTTGTATAAACGGCTACATATATTTTGATTGACCTAGATAGATGACATCGAGACCATTTTTTTGAAAAACCAGCGGATATCTCGATTTTTGCACACGTTAGCGCACGTACAAGGATTTTAATGAACAGTGGAATACCTCAAACACTTTGTATGAACAGGTACAGATGTTTTAATTGATCTCAATAGTGGACATCAAGACGAATATTTTCAAAAAAAAGTGGAATCGGCTGCAAAATTTAAAGATATTCAATAATAGATTTTCAGAAAAAGTTGAATATCTCCGAAACTACTGGTGCCATTGAGCCTGTCTCCAATCCCAATCTTTATTATCACGGGAGGGAAATTCTGTCCAAATTTTGAGTTGATATCTCGATTTTTACACACGTTAGCGTACGTACAAGAATTTTAATAATTCAAAAACAGAAAAGGGGAAATATCTCAAAAATTTTGTATGGACGGGTATATATGTTTTTATTGATAGAGCTAGAGGACAGCGAGACGAATATTTTGAAAGGAAAAAATGTAAATCGGTCCTATAATTTTAAAGATATTCGTGAAAAACGATTAAAAAACGAATCGCTTTATCCCAAAAACTATTTGACCGATCGAGCTGAAATTGTTTTAGCCACTTAATTATTCAATTTTCTAAAAATTGACCATCGGCAAGGTAGCGGTGAACGGCGGCAAACTTCGTATTTTTACGTTTCAGACCATTCTACATCATTTCCAATGGAAATTAGAGAATGTGAAAATCGGACGATTACAAAGCTTCCATTCGGAAGCATGGAGTCAAATTCATGCCGCGTTGGATGCTTCTCTCATCGCAGATGCTGACACATTTGAGGAATCCCTAGACACCCAAGAAAGACGCATGGAGGCTCAGCAACGCGTGAACTCAAATTTTAGAGCCCCACCTCAATCGAGATACGCGGTAGCATATCGGCCAAGAAAAGTTTTGACCGACTGAGCAAAACATCAGGCCGAGTGCACCGTGTATCTATACACGAGAGAACTTCCCCCTCCACTACTTCTAAATAATTTACATTCGGTATAATGAAAACGGGAAGACAAATGGGGAATGTTTCGTTAGTTACATTATATAAATCTCCTATGAGTTTTTCAACGGTGTAACTATGGTATTTTTTGGATTAATAATAAAAAAGACACGCGCATGGCAACGGGTTGATATTCACATTCTCGCGATCCATATCATAAAGTCGGAGAATTAAGTTGTACATTGGCAGCGCCGGTCCCACTGAGCCTCATGTCCAACGTTGAAGTGTTGCCACCAGTGCATTTGAATGTGGGTTGTGATGCTGTTATAGAAAACCACGGGAAATGTTCTTCTTCACGTTAAATCACTTATTAGAATGAAACGGAAAATCGACTCGGTGTTCTATTTTGTTTTCTCTCGTCGAAAATTCGAATTTCATCCCGCCATATCTATATTCATATGCGGATCTCGGACGTAAAGGTAGTTTATGCACTGTTTGTGAGGTTATCGGTTTATGTTTGGAATGTGACAAAAGGGAGATGTGTCGAAAATATTGCGTGATCAAGTATTAAATGTCCGTGAATAGTTATATCGAAAAGAAAATATTTATTTTTCTCTGAGTGTAACAAAAAATGTTTTCATTCCGTGGAAAAAAATTCTCTAAATTAAGTGACAGTGAAATGCGAACAATTTTATGATTATTTAGGAAAAATTAGTAGGAGATGGTGGGATTAAATAGACACTTTGAACCCTCTTCAAAATGTTGATGTCTCGTTGAAGTGTTGATGAAATAGATTTTTTTTAAAATTAAAGTAGAGTCAGTCCCTTTGTAATAAGCTTAGACTGAGCTCAATCGATAAGTTTGTTCCTTGGTTATAAATATTGAAACAAGAAGTCAGAAGAGTCCATTCCACCCAATGTGTCCCTAATATTTAAAAGAAAAAAAAACAGATGTTTTCAAAAACAATTTTTTGCGAACATTTTGTTCGACTATTCCTATAAGGTGTGACGTAATTTCCTGAGGTTCACGGAACCCTCAATCCACTACGTAGCCCTTCGACGTACGACCACCCTGAAATGGCAATTAAGTCGAGCGCCAGGTCGTTATTACCAGAACGACCACTGGAATGAAACGAATAGCCAAAAACAAAATTTCCAGAATGACCCCAAGCTTCGAAACGGTCTCCTGCTAACTCCGACCGAAGAACGGCGTGAAGGTCACTGGTGAAGCTTAGATTGAAAAGAAAAAAAACAGAGGAAAATACGGAANAGAAAACCACGGGAAATGTTCTTCTTCACGTTAAATCACTTATTAGAATGAAACGGAAAATCGACTCGGTGTTCTATTTTGTTTTCTCTCGTCGAAAATTCGAATTTCATCCCGCCATATCTATATTCATATGCGGATCTCGGACGTACAGGTAGTTTATGCACTGTTTGTGAGGTTATCGGTTTATGTTTGGAATGTGACAAAAGGGAGATGTGTCGAAAATATTGCGTGATCAAGTATTAAATGTCTGTGAATAGTTATATCGAAAAGAAAATATTTATTTTTCTCTGAGTGTAACAAAAAATGTTTTCATTCCGTGGAAAAAAATTCTCTAAATTAAGTGACAGTGAAATGCGAACAATTTTATGATTATTTAGGAAAAATTAGTAGGAGATGGTGGGATTAAATAGACACTTTGAACCCTCTTCAAAATGTTGATGTCTCGTTGAAGTGTTGATGAAATAGATTTTTTTTAAAATTAAAGTAGAGTCAGTCCCTTTGTAATAAGCTTAGACTGAGCTCAATCGATAAGTTTGTTC